TATCCGTTAATCATCATGCATTTTAAATACTCTTACCCATATAGCTACCCGTAGTTGTGGAGCCGTGCACCGCATGAACACAATACTAGTTTACTAAATAAGAAAAATAATCATATAATAGTGAGATTTAACTTATTTTCTATTTTGTCAGGATTTATCATTAAAATATTTTTCAAGTCTATCTAAATATTTATTTGTCTTTTTTGAGTCATTGTAATGAAAAATTGTTAGTTGTGGATCATCTACATTTTCTTGATGTTGTTTTGTTGTCACGTGAACTCTAAATAGTTTAGATTTGAAATGGTTAACAAAATGAATAATTTTAAAATGATTAAGGTAATAAATGATATATTAAATTGTGATAATTTGATTGTGTTTTAGGTATGTAATTAAATTAAGTATTGTAGTTATTTTTTATATAAAAAATAATTACATATAATTACTTTAAAATTTAAATATATTATCAACAGTATTTTTTTTAGTAACTACGTTACTTGTACGAAGTATCTTTTTGTTTCGTTGATGACTTATTTCTAGTAAAAAATATCTAACTAGTCATCTTTGATTGTTGTCCTCTTTCAACTACATTTTTTTACACACAAAATTTAAACTTAAGCCCTTAGTTAAGAAAATTAAGCTTAGTACCATTCAAGCCAACAAATTATACTTGTTTAATTAGTTTTTGATTTTGACATTTTTACTAGCACATAAAAGAATCTTTATGCCCCATTGTTTTAAAAGAAACAAAAATATCTTTTTGAACAATTATTTGAATAATTTTAGAATTTAAAAATGTGCAGTTACTTATGAGTATTTTTAGAATATAATAGATAAAATAGGAAGAAAAATAAATATTGATATAAGATAAATGGTTTTAAGAAGTTATAAAAATGAACAAAGGTTAAAATGGTCATATTAAAATGGAAATCAATAGTTAAGGGTGTAAGTGAGTTGAGTTGGGATGGGTCAAGTTTAGATAAGTTTGTTACTCAACTTGATCAAAATTTAATGGATTAGGTTAAATCGGATTTATGTTTTTTTATTATTTTAAATTCAACCTAATTTAACTTAATCATAAACGAGTTGAATTAAGTTGATTAATCGATTCAACATAATTAAATTTATTTATTTATTATAAAATTTAAATATTTTAAAATAAATGTAAATCATTTGATATTTACTACAAATGTAATGTTATCCTCCTATAAAATATATAATGATGGAAACTAAATTCTAAAATAGATTTATTAATTTGTTACATTATTATCGATTTAAATAACTAACATTAATATAAAATAAAATTTAAAATAAATATGTTATATTGTTATAATATTATTAGAAAAAAATATAAAATCATTATTAAGTAAGAGTAATAATAAATATTATCTCAAATAAATGATTATTAAAAATTAAATTATTTATTTATTATTATATAATCGAGTCAAATAATAAATTAAAACATAAAAATAAGTCAATAACATGTAAAATGCCAAGTTGTTAATATACACAATTTTTTTTAATCCAAACTTATTGAATTTTTTGAATTCAATAATCACCTATATCCCTACAAATAATTATAATTGAAAGAGATATTTCCTTTATATAATAATATAAATGTTATTTTTTCATCTACATTTACACGATGAGTTTATCGTTAGAATTTATTTTGTTGAAAGTACAATGCGGGTCTATTGGTGTAAGTTCATGATAGGTATATTTTCATGAACTTAAAACACAATAAAGTTTATCATTAAATTTTTTTAAAAATTGGTCAATAAGTGATTTTTTTTTCCTGAGCTCGAGGTTTTAGACTTTAACTCTGTTGGGTGCATTGTTAAAAAAAAAAAAAAATGAACGAAATGGGCTGACCAAACAAAATTATTGGAAGCCCAACAAATGCCTCGATGCATCCCGCTGATTGCCTGAGTAAGCAGTGTAGTGTATGTGTTGTTATCGAGCGATGACGCCACTTGTCGCGGTCACTAGGGTTAATAAAATAAGCCCATTGTTGCATCAGCATCGTTCAAAACGGACGGCTCAGATCGCAGCATTATCCATGACGAACGGCATCACATCTAACAGGACCATCATGCGCCATGGAGCCGCCAACTCCCACTGTTCCGCTATATAAAAGCAGCACCTCACGTTTGCATTGCCCTACTTCGCAATTTCCAATTCTCGATTTACCACCAAAAACTGCCACTCCAGGTTTCAATTTCGTCTCCACAACGAAGAAAGCCCCATTCTCTTCTCTTCCACAAAACCGTTTCTCTCCCGCGAGGTACTTGGGATTTTTTCCACTATCGGTTAGGGTTTAGTGTTTGAAACCCTAGGGATTTTAGTTGATTATAAAATATCTCTCAATATATGCTTTTGTTTTTCTAAATGTTGTATTATGATGACGCCAGCATTAGATTCTCTGGTGCTTATGATATCACATTTCGAATATTGTTACGGTGATTTGATAGTTTAATCAATATTAATCGTGCTCTGTTAGCGCTTAGGAAATCAGGGATCTACTTTTCGATTGAGGTTTTGCGTTCAACGGCCTGGCAAATTTGTTAATCTTTTATTTTTTTGTTCTGATTTTTTTGGATGAAGGTAAAGAGCTTCTATTCAGGCATGGGCGATAGTGAATTAGTGGCTACCGGAGCATCTGCTGCTGAGGCATATGCTTCGGCTGGTTATGCTGAGGCTGGTTCGAATCCTGTTCCTGAGGCAGGTGCTGCCGTTGATCAATCTGCTGGAGAAGCTGCACAAGGCGCTTCAGCTTATGGATTTGGTTATTCTAATGCTGGTGATGCAAATGCATACGCCGGGGATCCAAATTCTGTTCTACAACAAGCGCAATTCAATGCAACTGGTGATTCCAAGCAACCTGACGGAGTGACCGATGCTAATGAGGCCTCCACTGGGCTTGGAAGCACACCTGCTGAGTCTGCTGTGGTTTCCGACTTCAATTCATCTGTAAATGGCGGTGTTGTTGGTGCAGTGGCAAATGCTTCCGAACTTGAAAACGGGACTCCCTTGGAGACTGTTGATGGGGCAGCTGATGAGAAACAATTGGCAGATGGCTACGGTATATTTTTTTCTGTTACCTATTCATGTTCTGAATGCTGTTATCCCGTTTTATCGGTTATTTTGTAATTTGTACAAAAAATTCAGTAGTAAGTGTTAAGGTTAGGGGTAGAACTTGTCGGTTAATAATCAAGTGTCATGACCTAAGGATTTTGTGGTTTATTAACTAGCAAATATCTAATGCAGACTGTGCAGCTATTTGATTTTCCAATTCAAGTTGCATATCAGTGTTATTAATTCGTATTTTTTTCATCACTGTTCATATAAGAGAAAAAGCAGTGTTTTACACGCACTGGAAGTGGAGTTTAATGCAGTAAACAAGTGGTCCAGTTTACACGTGTCTATCAACAGAATAGTTTATAGCTAGTGAACATCAGGACTAATAGAGTAGATGTATAACACTACTGTGGTATTTTGATTCACTTTAATTTCAAGTGGCTTGATAACTTATAGTTTGAAATGGTTCTCAATCATTTATAAGATGAATAACCTTATTTTGTGTATAAATATGTTTCTGCATTTGAAAGATGATCTAATTTTTATGGAGACAATTCTGCCACTATTCTTTCCACCAATAATTGTAAAGAATAAAATTGATGCCGGAACTTTTCTGTTGAAGGATGTCTTTTATATTACTATCCAATGTTTAACTTATATGAATATTTCAATAAATCGGTTTTTGTAGTGCTTTTGCTATTATTCACGAACATGCTGTTATTCATCCAAATTATGACGTTCACCCATTCATTTTTTTCTTACCATTAGCAGCTGCCTTATCTGCTGAAGAAGATCGATTGTGGAATATTGTAAGAGCTAATTCTTTAGATTTCACCGCTTGGACTGCCTTGATTGAAGAGACAGAGAAGGTAGCAGAGGTATGTTATGTTGAATTGGATTTTTGGACTCGAATTACATGCTGGGATGCACATCAATTTACGTATTTCACCTTTGATGCTTACCGGAAGTTTTTGCCTTGTCTATTTTATAGCTGTTGTTAATTTCAGAGTTCTTTGATGCAGTGTTGTTCATGAATATGTTTTGTTTGTTGTAGCTGTAGCCATCATTGCATATAGGGATGGGATTGCTCTTCTTTTTGTTGGGTATAGAATTGGGTGGGTCGATTCTTACTGTTGTGTATTTAGTGTCTGGTTATTATGCGAGGTTGTCTTCAGCCAAATACTTATGATATTTTTCTTTTTGAGATTTCTGAGATATTTTTGTTACTTGGTATTGGTAACATTTAGGATGAATCAGTATATGATAAGGTTTGATGTAAGTAAATGGCTGTTTCACAGAACTTTTAGATTTGTTACATATGAATGGCATAATATGCATGCTATTATGCTATAATGTTAAATTTGTTTCTCTGTTTCTTTTGTAATCTTAATTAAAACTTAAAAGTGACTGTTATATACAAAGTTTTGTGGGCGCTTTCTTTGGTTTGTGATTTTTGCAATGGACAATCCAACATTCAAGTTTTGCAATTTACAAGATGCATTTTAGAATGTTCTTTTAGTTGTTGTACCAAGTGACCTCCTTTTCCCCCTCTTTTGTCCACCTCATTTTGTGAATGTTTTATATTATTGCAATTATAGGTTCAGTCGATGACTTACTGTTATGTATTTTATCATTACTGTCTGTGTATTGTTTTTTGGATTATTATGAAACTCATTAATGATTTCTCTGTTGAAGGACAATATTTTGAAGATTCGAAGAGTATATGATGCTTTTCTAGCAGAATTTCCCTTGTGCTATGGTTATTGGAAGAAATATGCTGACCATGAGGCTCGTCTTGGTGATAAAGTTGTTGAAGTGTATGAACGTGCTGTTCAAGGGGTTACATATTCAGTGGACATGTGGTTGCATTATTGCATATTTGCTATAAGCACTTATGGGGATCCAGACACTGTTCGTAGGTAATGGAAGTTTAGCTGCTCGTCATCCTTTTTATTTATTTTTTTTGCGTTGGTAGATTTTGATTTTATTTTCCATTCACTAGGCCCAGCTGTTTCTCGCCTGCTTTCTAACATAATTTCAGAATGCGTGCAACAGTGATATCTCCCTTGTATGGCGGAAAAGCTTTGATGGAATTACATGACAGAATGTTTTCCATTCTGATGTTTAAATCCTTGGTTTTGAGTCCCACTATTTGTGGTAGTTTTTAAATTTTAGGGTCATTTTCTCCAATATACTTCCATTTGATTTCAAAGTCCATAGTTCTCTAGTATTTTTTCCTTGTTGGAGTGGTAGCTCTCTTTATCTTTGACACTCTGAGGTGCATCAATTTGCAAATTGCTGCTGAGAAGATCTCGTCTGGTTAAGGGCTAAGATGGCCTCTATGACTGCTCCATTTCTCAGACATAGTATGATTTATTGCAGGAAGGTAAATGCAGCGTTTGGATGTCTTACATGATGTTACGAGTGATTTGTTTGTTCTCCTTGAACACTAGTGCTGCTGTCTCCCATATATGGATGTGCATCAGTAAAAAGACGCTTCAAGTCACACATTAACCAGAACTGTGTTCATATGTTTCAGGCTTTTTGAACGAGGATTAGCTTATGTTGGGACAGATTATCTATCTTTTCCCCTCTGGGATAAATACATTGAATATGAGTACATGCAGCAAGACTGGGCTCGCCTTGCCATGATCTACACCAGAATATTGGAGAATCCAAATCAGCAATTAGATCGGTATTTTAGCAGGTGATTATTTGTTTCAAAGTTATTACCCTCCATTTTTTTTGGAAAAAATATTCTGTTGTTTTTATTTAGCAGATACTCTCACTTTTTGGCGGTTAATATTACTTCCTTGGTGGTAATGGTGTTGCAGCTTCAAAGAATTAGCTGGAAATCGACCTTTGTCAGAATTACGAACTGCTGATGAAGCTGCTGCAGTGACAGGTGTTGCTTCAGAGGCTACTGGCCAAACTATTGAGGGGGAGGTTCATCCTGATGGTGCAGAGCGTTCTCCTAAATCTGTAAGTGCTGGCTTAACAGAAGCAGAAGAGTTGGAGAAGTATATCGCCATTAGAGAAGAGATGTATAAGAAAGCTAAAGAGTTCGATTCTAAGATCATTGGTTTTGAAACAGCTATCAGGAGGCCCTACTTTCATGTACGGCCCCTCAATGTCGGAGAGCTTGAGAATTGGCATAACTATCTGGACTTTATAGAAAGGGAAGGTGACCTTAGCAAGGTAACAGATGGTTTCTTATAAGAGTGCATTATGTTCCTAGTGTTTTCCTGTTATAGACTGACTTACAATAAGTAATATCTGTTGTATCATATGTTTTATTGGCTAATCCGTTGGATGAAGCAACTTTTTAATCGGGAAATTGAACTGAGACTAAAGCATGGACCTTCAATTTGGTTTCTTGAGGCTAAGTACTTCAAACCCTAATTTGTCAGTGGACATTCTAGGTTCCTCATGTGTTTGTAAAAGTTTATTCTTTTTAAAGTGCGAATGTTATGCATGCAGGTGTGTTCTTATCTTCCTAATCATCTGTCGCAGGCAAGGAGGGTCCCTCCTTTCATTATTTGAGGGGCCTCTCTGTCCCGCTAAGGAGTATATCTTGATGCTTTGTATTTTCCTTCTGTGTTTTATATTATTGATATTGATTTTGCTCGTGTCTATACCATCGGTGACAATTTTTACGACATTGTCTTTTGTGTGTGATTTAGATTGTCAAGTTGTATGAGAGATGTGTCATTGCATGTGCCAATTATCCCGAGTATTGGATACGCTATGTTTTATGCACGGAAGCCAGTGGAAGCATGGATCTTGCAAATAATGTTCTTGCTCGAGCAACCCAAGTCTTTGTTAAGGTAATTTCATCTAAATGTCAGTCATACAGCTGTATTTATTGTTGCATTCGTCTCTCACGTTTTTAATAGTTGAAGCAACAAGGCAATATGTCTAACGGACTCTGGTACCTGATCACTTCTTGTTGATGTTGGTTTTTACATGAATTAAATGGTTGACTCTGACTGGCATAATAGTTCTTGGAACTTGAACTTGTGTGATGATATACTCAAAGTCATGCATGTGTGTCTCATTCAAGCAAAAGTAGTAGGTTATATTTGATGCTTCAGAATAAGGGCTTTTATTGATATCTGTATTTATTTGCTCTAACTCCTAAACAAGTAGATGATGGTTGCAACCTGTTCCAGAAGGAGTTGTATACTGATGGTAGGTTTCTTTGTTTATGATTCACAAGTAAAGAAGCCTCTGTGACTTCTAGTACTGGCTGTCCCTTCTAACCATTTTGTCAAAAATGATGACATTTTATTAGTATATATTTTGATTGTAGAAAAGTGTTATTTTAATGCTGTATATTGTTTTTTCATTTTCTACATTGTGCTGTTGAAGATACATTGTGGTCAAATTGTGGTCATATAAAAGTTTACCTGTCTTCTCATTCCCCTTGAGGGATTGTCTGAGGATAGAAAGGTGAATCTTTCATATATATCTTTGTTGGAAACCAATTATAGGTGAAGGCTTATTATTGGTGTTTTTGTATTTATATCCCTTAAGATGAAAGAGTCCCTTGGGCTTGAAGCATTGATTTATAAAATGTATGGGCCCTTTTTGTCCTTATCTTGTAATTGGACTTATTTATTAAGAATGGGGATGGTATAAATGAGTTCCTGACACTTGTTCTTAGTGGCTTTTTTACTTTGTTGAAAATTGGGTTTTTATAACTCAACTTGTTAGGTCATATGCAGATGCCCCATACATTGTTTTTTATATATCCAACATGCGTGTTTTAGCCTGTTAGTTAGTGATGTTTATGTGTTCCATTTCTAGGTCTTTTCTCTTGATTTAAAAAATGTAATGTACAGTAGTATTATAGTCATAAACAAAATTAGCTGTTGTCAAATTGTACATATTACACTCAACTCATACTTATTGCGCTGGATAAGAATTTCCTTTGATTTTTCTGCAATTAAGTCATTTTGTTTGTTTGTTATAATGCAGAGACAACCAGAGATACATCTTTTTTGTGCTCGGTTCAAGGAGCAGAACGGAGATATAGCTGGTGCTAGAGCTGCATATCAACTTGTGCATTCTGAAACCTCCCCTGGTCTTCTTGAAGCAATTATCAGGCATGCAAATATGGAGCACCGACTGGTATGCTGGCTTGTGAAAGCTTTTTTAGATTGTGACTTAATTTTAGTTTGATTTGTTTATAGTTTTTCCATTCATTAATATTACAGGGAAAATTGGAGGATGCCTTCTCATTGTATGAACAGGCCATTGCTATTGAAAAGGGGAAAGAACATTCACAGACATTGCCAATGTTATTTGCTCAGTATTCTCGATTTGTTTATTTGGTATGTTTCATAACATATTTGCATGCAAATACTCGTATCTTTTTGTTCTTATTTAAGGCTTGGCATTGGTTGGTTGGAGCTGCATTCTCTCGTGTTTTTAATTATTCCCTTTGTTTGCTAAGGTGTGAACTATAGGTAATTTCATTAATTAAAGTTAACTTCTTTCTTTAATCTGTCTGCATTTGTTATACGAAAATGGTTGTTGTGCTTTATATACTTCTCATTTATGACAAAAAATAAAGCATCCAAATTATTCTATGTAAAGAATTACAAATTCAAATTTAATACAACTATTCTCTAATTCTTAAAAAAAAAAATTCTAGTTTCATAGCTCAATTATATGGAAATGATTGTCATGTTCCTTAAATCCTTCTATCTCATTTTGTCATTAGGCTTCTGGGAATGCAGAAAGGGCAAGACAGATTCTAGTTGACGGGCTTGAAAATGTTTTGTTGTCAAAGCCACTACTTGAGGTCTGTTCTCACTTTTACTTTTCATGGGCCACTAAATTCACTTCTATTATGTAGTTGGAGATTCTTCTCTTCGTATTTTTAAGTGTTCCCCATATCTAATGAAATTCTTTAATATGATGTTACATGCAGGCTTTATTGCATTTTGAGGCTATGCAACCCTTGCCAAAGCGAGTTGATATTGACTTTCTGGAGTCATGTGTTGTCAAATTTATAATGCCTAACTCAGAGAGCCCTGGTGTAGCAAGTGCAACTGATCGTGAGGAACTTTCTAGTATTTTTCTGGAGGTAAGTCCCTGTCAGAAGGATGTCCTAGAATGTGCTTTTAATGAGTTAACTCGAGGAAGAAAATGCTGTATGTTTATCTTTTACCTTTTTGACGTGTTTGTGTGTGCTTATTAATAATTGATCAATGAAAATTTAAGTGCTTGTTTGGTGGCTAGGATATGACAGGATAATTATCTTATCCTATTATAATCTCGTTGTTGTGCCAACAAGATATGATAGTCTTATCATCTCTTAACTTGTGTTGTTAGTCTAGTGTATGTTTTATTCCAAGGGGTAGGTGGGTTAAGAAACAATAAGATATGATAAGTTCTCCTTCCTCTCTGCATTATGGCATATATTATGCTATATTATTATATAAAATATTAAAAAAATATAACAAATATAATACTACTTTTGATCCTAATTATATGTAAAAAAATTTGGATTTTTCTTAAGTTCTAATTATAAGCAACAATCATTAGTTTTTAAAGTAACTTGTTGAATTTCTTTTATACGCTTTATTTATTGCTAAATCTATTTCCTATGCATTCACATAGTTACATTAAATATAATAACTATTTAAAGTAAATTGTACATTTGAATTACAACTTGAATTTATGATAGAATTAATTAAAGTAACCATATTAATTACTTTTCTTGATCTTGATGATTTGAAAAAAGGCATGCCTGCTTTTTTTTTTCCTTTTGAATTATAACTTGCAAGTATTATTAATTTTGTTAACTTTCTATGAATTTTCCAGTTTTTAAATCTCTTTGGAGATGTTCAATCTATCAAGAGGGCTGAGGATAGACATGCCAAATTATTTTTGCCACACAGAAGCATGTCAGAGTTGAAAAAACGTCATGCTGAGGATTTCTTAGCTTCAGACAAAACAAAAGTGCCTAGAACTTATTCTGTTCAATCACCTGCCCAATCTGTGATGGGTACATATCCAAATGCGCAGAACCAATGGACTAATTATGGAGTACAACCTCAAACTTGGCCTCCAGTTACACAAGCACAAGGACAACAATGGACTGCTGGCTACACCCCGCAGGTAGGGTAACTTTTCCTCTTATTTGAAAGCATGTTGTGTTAATTAGGTTTGATTGTATCCCACTTACCTTGTAGATTTTTTTTTTATGCTAGTTTGTCTGGCAAAGAGGGTAAAGTTATCCACTTTTGTTTGTTATACTTGTTAATCTGAAATTTTGCAATATTAACTGCTTGTGTTATTAGAAATGGCGTGGACATTTAAGATGTGACAACTGTGTCCATTAAGCCGCAGCATTATTGCAAAACAGCATATTGGTATTGTTGAAGTAGAATTTTTGTATCTTAAATGATGCTGCAATTTAACATGCGTTGTATTGTACCTGTATAAGATTGCTTTATGAATGCATTTATGCTATGCTCGATATTTTTCATGCAGTGAAATATATATCTATATTCTGGAGTTAACATTTGTTTACTCGTGTTCTGCATCATTGTGTTTGTGCACCTATTAAATCATTAATATAAGCATCGAGTTAGGTGTTATTTTTAATTCATTGTTTAATGGCTCTTTACGTGAACTTTTTTATTTTATTTTATTTTATTCATTTTGTGGTCAATTGTGTTGTCATTTTATCCTTCTGTTTTAGCTGCTTCGTTTTAACTGTTTCATTCTGATTTATACAGGCTTCCTACGGTGCTTACGCTGGATATGCGGGTAACTATGCAAATTCTCAACTACCTACATCAGTTCCACAAAGTACTGCATACGGAGCCTATCCTCCTGCATATCCTGCACAGGTTTAAATGCACGAACTCTTGTTTCGACGTCATTTCTCAGTTGATCTGAATTTTGTCTAACATTGTCATTTTCTGATTTATATGTCTTATGATAAACATAGTATCGTGAAACTCAATTGTTTTGTCTGAATAATTTCAGCCGGCAGTACCTCAACAAAATTATGCACAACCTGTTGCAGCCCCTGCACAGCAACCTGCTGCGGTTCCTCAAGCTTATTACGGCAGTTATTACTGAGCTGACAAAATGAGATAGCCTCTTTTTTTTTTGTGTCCTGTATTTTTCCCCGATATTATAGGTAATTTAATATGTAGGGAATCTGGAGCATAGGTGTAGTGTAAACTTGGTTATACTATTTGAGATAGAAAATCATTTTGACTAATTCGCAATTGTATTTTAGTTATTTTGCTGTACATTTTTTTTCTCTGGTTAGTGCGGAACGGTAACACTTTGGTTTCTCAATATTACATTCGTTTAATCGCACGTTCAAAAGGAGTTCGAAAAATATGTGCTGGTTTCGTATAAGTATAGACGATAAATTTCAGCTAATGCGCTGAAAATCAGTAACTGTAAGGGAATTAAATAAAAGTTTATAATTTTTGTTGGAATAGAATACTTATAAGTGTGCTTACAAGCATTTATCACTTGCTTAATTATTTGAATAACATGTTTAAATTCTCTGTTTGGAGTAACTTTTGATTTTTTATCAAAATTATTCATGAAATAGTGCTAAAATTATACACTGAAACGTTTTAGCACACGAAAGGTAAAAATAAAATCCTTAGTAAAAAACTAGGATTTTTGAAAGTAGTTGGAATCAAAATTTTCATAAAGAATAAATAGAACACGTACGATAGAACCCATGTATTTCAATGGAACAAAATTTGAACAGTCCAATTGTCGATCTGAAGGGAAAGTGTGTTGGATTGCATTGTATTTTGTGTTGATGGTGATAATTACTGAGAATTGACACAGGAGAAAGCGCAAACAGATAAAAATAAATGAATTATGAAAGTATGCCGATCTTTCATTAGTGAAACCTGGTTTGTTGATCTAATGCAGGAAGGTGGTTTTTAGTTACCAGGTTTCAAAATTTTAAACTTTACAATCATTTCTTAGTTTTTAAGTATCAGTCTTTCTTATTGTTCTTCTAGTTTTCAATTCCAAAAATAAATTCTTTTTGCATGTTATTTATGCCATTAAATTTAATTTGGATTGTTTGTGAATGTGTTCTATTAATAATTGTGACAATGTTGAAAGGAGTAACTATGTCATTAGCGATAATTGTGATGATGATGTTAATGATAATAATTCTAGTAGAAATTATAATAATAGTTATAATAATAATAATAATGATAATAATAATAATTGATATGAAAATAATCATTGTGAGTTATAGCTCGTAGTATTCAAAACAAATCTTTAAGTTTGAGTTATCATGAAGTTTTTTTCTTCTTATTTGCATAAAACAGGAGTCATTTGCTTTGAGTGGAATAAAACTATTATGGGCATCAAAAGAGACATCTTGTAAATCCTAAATCCATTAACTTTTTAATCTTAATTAATACAATGTATTTTTTTTATATTTATAAAGTATTTTATAATTTGAAGGCTAAATTGTACTTGTAATTTTTTTTTATCAATTTATAATATTAGTCTCTATTTTAAAAATAGAAATATTTAATCCATTTATTTTTAAAATACTGAATTTAAATTTTATCATTAATTTAATATTTGTTAATCGTTAAATTTAACATTTTTTATTTAATTTTCTCATCTTTTAATTATTAAATTTTAATATTATTTAATGATCTGTTATTATATAAGTAACGTGATATTTAATGATATGAAATATAAAAAAATTATATATATTTTAATGAGTAATTAATATATATTTTATTAATAAATTTTTTATAAAACAAGAAGATTTGATGGAGATAATTTTTTTAAAAAAGGACTAAAAGCAAAAAAAAAAATCTAATTTATAGGGACGGAAAAGATATACTGTACAACTCAATAACTTATTATAATTTTCTTTGTATTCTTTTCGCTTAATTTACTTTCATTAACAATATGACACATTATTATTATTATTTATTATTACCAGTACAACAACAATAACATTAAAAGTTAAGTTCTTGTGCACATTATACAAACTTCCACTATTAGAGTCACTATAATGATTAAGAAAAATATAGCAATTTTGTTTTATTTCTTATCATGAAACTTTGTATTAACGTCATTTTTTTATTAAATATAAATATTTTTTTCAAGGAAATAATTTATTAAAAAACATAGTATATTCCATATTTCAAAATAATACTTTATATAAATAAAAAAAAGTTGAGCGATTGTGATATTTGAGATTAAAAATAAAAATATTTTTTCAAGCCCCTTAATTTCTTAACAAATATAGCATATTTCATCTTTTAAAGGACAATTTTTTTTTTTACACGAAGGACTAATTTCTTACACAAATAATAATCTTGAATTATCATATTACCATAAACAATAGAGACGTTAGAATTTTAAAAAAAAAATTGTATCGATAAATATGTATTTGGAAAATTTAATGTACAACGATGCATAATATGATAAACACTTAAATATGTTTTTTTTAATTATATATAAGATGAATGACTTTTAATTTTACTCTGAGTATTTTGTTTTTTTTATATTTTTAATTATAAATATTATTTTTTATCTTTATAAAATATTTTTTCATCATTGTAAAATGATTAAATTTTTGTTTTGGATCATGTAAGAATATTTTCTTTCATTTTCTTTCCTTTAAAATCTAAAATCATACTTTTTATCCTAAAGATGATTTTTAGATATAGAAAAAATATTTATTTTAAAAATTTATGAAATTTTTTTAGAAATATCATACACTAATATAATATTAATAATAGTTGTGGATAACATTTCAAACAGTAACTTAATCTTTTAATGAATAAGTCAGGAATAAACATAATTATATAATTATGATGACTAAAAGTAATAATTTAAAATTTAAAATTATAAAAATATTTTTTTTTATAGGAATCAAATTTTAAATTTGCTTATTTTATACGACTAAAAATATAATTAAAATTATGATAAATTATAACACAAGAAAACATGATAATGTAATCAGACACAAATTGTCCATGTTTTTATTAGTAAGATAATTATTAATTTTCTTTTTATGTTAACCTCTTTGAGTTGAGGTGCAAAATCTTAGATGGACCTTACTCTTAATGTTGGTTATTGAGATTTATTTGTAGTTTATAAGGAATAATATAAACTATTATAAGAGGATAGTACTTTTATAATTGGTTTGGTTTTCATTTTTAAACAAATCGTTCTATTTTTTTTTTATTATCAAAATATCTAAATTACGTATCTTTTTATGTATCAAAATTTCACTAATTACATAACAGTTTATTTTAATTAATTTTTATTTATTTTTTCATTTTATCCTTTACAATGAATAACTAGGGATCATCATATTTTTTTTTACATAGAAACACTTTTTTTATATATAAAATATATAGAGTAATAAAGTATCTCAATTCCACTAATAATAAATAAAAGAAATATATTATTTCAATCTTAAAATCATATTTTAAGTGTTTTTTCGTATACCATCTTCTCCTAGTGCATTTAAATCTAGAGAGGAACAAATGTAAGACGCATTCAGATGAATCAATTATAAGAAAATTTTGAAATATCCTTCTTCAAACTGATCTCCCAAGGATCTTCTAGCATTTTTCTTTGTGATGTATATAACTACTTCTCAATTTAGTAATAAAGTTGTCATTTATCCTAAGAAACAAATAGAATACATTCAAATAAACCAATTATAAGAGATTTTCAAAAGTTTGAATATCAAACTAACTCATCTTCTAAAATTCTTTTCAAATAGAACACATTCAAATAAACCAATATACTTTCAAAAGATAAAGTATCAAACTAACTCCTCTTCTAAAAGTCGTCTGAGGTACCTATCTCTCCATGATGCATGTAAAATGTAGGGGTGGGCAAAACGAACTGAACTAAACTGAACTTATAAAAACTGTACTGAACTAAACTAAACATTAGTTCAGACAAACTGAACTGAACTATTCTTTTGTGTCATTGAACTGAACTGAACTGTACTATAAAAACTTGAACTGAACTACAATTTAAACTGCACTAAACTGTTATGATATTTTGAATTGAACAATTTTGACTCGTTGATCTATCAAAATAGGACACATTTGCCAACTTTACTTTATTTTCTATTTTATTTAAATTTTTCAAAGGAAAAAATATAAAATTAAGTCAAACAAACGCAGTAAATTTTAAGCCTAAAAATAAGTAGTTCAACATAGCTCAATTGATCCGTTAAGTTCGACAAAATTGATACAATTTTTTTTCAGATCACTTTTTTTTTTAAGTTTTGGTTATTAGACTATCGAGCTAATCCATTAAGACATAATATGTTAAACACGTTTAATTTTTATTCTTTTATAAAAATAATTCAATTTTTATAGTTCAGTTTTTATAGTTTAGTACAGTTCAACTTTATAACAGTTCAGTTCAGTTCAGTTTTTTTTAAACAGTTCAGTTCAGTATTTTTACAAACAGTTCAGTTTTTTATAGTACAGTTCACCACCAGTTCAGTTCAATTCAGTTCAGTTTAGTTTTTTTTGCCTACCCCTAGTAAAATGTTTATTAATCTCTACCATCTTAAAAATTAATAAAATATATATTTAAATTAATTAATCATATAAATCGTTAGAATCGACTTAATAGTAAAAAAAAAGTTAAAATAATATATAAAATTTTAAGTTCAAATTTATAAAAAAATAAATAATAAATAAATTTAAATATATTTTAATTTTTATAAAATAAGTAAATTTCGATTTTGATCTTGCAAAATTTTTTTCCTTATTTTTCATCTTTTTAAAACTATAAAACATTAAAACAAATTTTATTTTGTTCCTTATAATATATTTTTTTAAAAGTATCACATGTAGATAAAGTATTACACACAAGTACAACTACAATAATCACATAATCTTCTCATGAACACGTAAATAATTTAAAATGCTCCCATAATAATAAAAATCAAAATAATAATTTTAAATTCCAGTAGGATGAAAAATAATAGTATTTTTTAGAGAGAAATCAAAATTAAACTAGGTTGTTTTAAAAAAATTAGAAACATGGAGAAATGGAGGGTTGAGTGTGAAGTGTGAAGTGTTGTGTGGGCTTAAAGTAAATCTAGGCCGTGGATTAGAGTGACTTGAAAAGGATCTGACCCATTGACAGTGGAGAAAGTTTATCTGAATAGATACCCAATCCGAGGGCTACGGTTTCGTGCCGCAACCCGCAAGCCTCCCTCGGCGATAGATTGATTATAAAGAATCACACACCACTCCACTCACTCTTTCGTTCCTCCATTTTTTAACATTCCATTCCCTCTCCGATCTCTCTCTCTCTCTCTCTCTCTCTAGATTTAGGGTTTTCGCCTCGATCTGCCGCGCCTCCTCCGACTACCGCTGCATGTTCTCATGGCGTCTTCCTATTCCGCTTCCGTCAGTGCCGCCCAGGTATTCCTTATTCTTCTCCTCCTTTTGCCTTTTGCTTTTTGGATCCGTCTCTTTCTGCTGAATGCTGCTTCTTTCAGGTTGGTTCCTACTTCGTTGGACAGTACTACCAGGTCCTCCGCCAGCAGCCCAATCTCGTTCACCAGTTCTACTCTGATTCCAGCAGCATGATTCGCGTTGACGGAGATTCCGTTGAATCTGCGCACGATGTGGTGGTATGCCTGCTCTCTCCTGCCTTTCCTTTCGTTTCATGGACTAAACTCATGTTTCCTATGTGTAAGCTCGGGATTGTTTCATCACGTGTATATGGTTTTGGAGAATTCTAGTGTTGTTTTTTTTTTTTTTTTTTCTCTCCTTTTGTGGTGGTTGTGGCAAGTGGTAAAGAATTTTGCTGGTAACATTCTATTCCGTGGAGGCTATGGCTAGGCACTGTTAAATACATGTTAATTTTTAGGTTGGTTTACTTTTAGATGTTTTGGCTGGTGCTATTGGTCTCTGATTGGTTAGGTTTGTGCTGATTCTATTAGTTTTGATGCTCTCGGGTGGTGCTTGATCGACCTTTCATCTTTTGTTTAGAAAGTTTATTTTTGTTTTTTGCTGGAGCTGTTTCCGAGAAAGAAGACATATTTTGTTTTTATTTTCTGTTTTTGTTTTCAAATAGTTGTATCGGAAATAATGGAAACAGAAATGAATAAAAGAATTGTTTTTGTTGTTTACCGTGCAAACGTTTGAGTTCAAGAAAGGGGAGAATTTTTTTGTAATTAGAAGTGCAAGCAGAAAATGTTTTGTCTAAGTAAACAGACATTTATTTTTCTGTGCTTCCTTATCTACCTTATTGGTTTTTGTAAAATGTTGGCTGATAGCTGACCAGGTTAGAGTTCTCTCATGCAGCAAATTCATTCAATCGTCTCTTTACTGAATTTCACTACAATTGAGATCAAGACAATCAATTCTCTTGACTCTTGGGATGGAGGTGTGCTTGTGATGGTCTCAGGTTTTGTGAAGATAAAGGATATTAGTGGGAGGCGGAAGTTTGTTCAAACCTTCTTTCTCGCTCCCCAAGAGAAGGGTTACTTCGTACTCAATGATATGTTCCATTTCATTGATGATGGAGTAACTTACCCAAATATGGTACCCGTGGCATCAGAAACGATCGACGCACAACCACATGTATCTGCTTCTCTTGCAGAACCACCAGGTAAATTAACTACCGAATTGTGTTTTCTAGTGATTTGTTTTCTTACTAGTTTAACTGCAAATATTTGAATTCAAGTCTTGTACTTTTTTCGATTCTGACAAATTTTTATGATTCTGTAATGTAGTCTTGTACTATAATCTAGTTTGGAGATTCATTAGATGCACAAATTATGAATTCCTATTTCATGATTTGCGCATCTAATTGCCTCCTATTTTATAAAATATTCTTAGTAGGGCATAGCTGCATAGTATAATCATATAATGGGATTCCTGGCGAGGGTTTTTTTACTGTAGTCTCATAGCCCTTCGTATTCACTCCAATGTAAAAATTAAATAACATGTATGTAAAGCATCAATTGAATAGTATGTGTGTACTGCATCAATTTTTATAGAAAAAAATTGTTTCCGAGTCCTGAGTCTCTGATTTTGCAGCTTCAGACTATGGTTTGGAGGAAGAAGCTAGAGAATATGTCAACTCAGTTCACATAGATGATGATCCAGTGGACAAGTATAGTCTTCCTGAGCACCAGCAGCAGCTAAAAGAAGATCTTGAAACTGAAATTGTTGTGGAGGAAACACCTGCACAGGAGGCATCTCCACCAATTCATAACGTTGCACACACTGTCCAAGAACCCCCTGTTGCTTTTGTGGAAGAGTCTTTGGAGGAGCTTCCTAAGAAAACTTATGCATCCATTGTATGTAATACTTTTGGTATATGTCTTTTTCTTTTCTTTAGCAGGCTACCTTTTTTTTAACTATGAACTATCCACAAACAGGATGCCACAACCATTTAAGTAACCAATATTCACTTTCTAGTCAAAGCACTATTTTAACTAGTCTTTTTTGTTTTCATAATCCTAATTTCCCGAAAATTTTGTTTTTTGACACTCGTTGAGCTATCCTAGAGATGTAGACTTTTGACTGGGCTACTAGCAGTCATTTTTCTGCTTTTTGGGGTTCGATTGTAGGAAGAAATATTTTGTATTCTCTTAGATTCTGGAAGAAAATATAAACAGGAAGGGAGGCAAAGATTAAGGTCCTCAAGAAATACACTTTTCTTAATTGTCAGAAGTTATTGCATTGGAAGTTCCACTTTCTTTATTGAGCCTCCCTTAAATGTAATATCAGACATGAAATATTGAAAGTTTTAATTTATTGTTCTTTGCACTGTCTGACTTCAACCTTAAAAAAGAAAAAAAAAAGTTGTTTGTGCATTCGATGTTTTGTCTTAATTTAATCACATTACAATTAACTTGCAGTTACAAGTTGCCAAAAGGGCAGCCAGTGTTGTCAGAAGTTATTGCATTGGAAGTTCCATTTTATTTACTTGAGCCTCCCTTAAATGTAATATCAGACATGAAATATTGAAAGTTTTAATTTTTCGTTCTTTGCTCTATGTCTGACTTCAACCTAAAAAAAAAGAAAAGTTGTTTGTGCATTCAATGTTTTTGTCTTAATTTAATCACGTTACAATTAACTTGCAGTTACGAGTTGCCAAAGGGCAGCCAGTGTTGTCAGCTGCTCCACAGCATGTTCCACAACAAGCTTTCAAAAGTGCTCCACCTCCTTCAGAGTTGAACCATGTAACACAGCCTGCTGTTCAGCAGTCAAGTTCTGCATCTATTTATGTTCCTGAGCCAGTGGCTGAGGGAGTTGAGGAAGGCTATGGACTAGAAGAAGAAGGTTTAGTTTATGTTCCTGATATTACAATCCTTTTCCTGGCATATTTGATGTCTGCATATTTTTGAATATTTTTGCCATTTATGGTATATAATGATGTGGGATAATTTTTTTACTCGATCATTCTTGGTGACGTATTGATTGTTGCATTTTTACCTATTATGCGTGAAAGTTGTCTATTTTTTTAGTTATTCTATCGTCAGAAAGTGGACAGAGGCATAAACCTTATGATCCAAAATATTTAGAAATGAAAATTTTAGCATTCTTTATGGTAAAATAGTTGCTTTTATTCTAGCATTTTGGAAACTGCATTTTTTGTTAGTGTTGAGTGATAAGCATCATTTAAGATTTGAGCTTAATCTTGTCTTTCAGAATTTTTGGAAATTAAAAACATCAAGTTGATTTCTGATCTTATTGATCCAGGTGAAGTAACATCTGTCTATGTGAGAAACCTGCCTGCTAATGTTACTGAGGCTGAGATTGACCAGGAATTTAAGAATTTTGGTAGAATCAAGCCGGATGGAATATTCATTAGGGTCCGAAAGGTAGCTCCTCTTATTGCGTTAAACTGAATGCTCATTTTTCCATCCGTGAAAATAGCAAAAAGCTAATGTAGAAGTTTATGCGTGCAGGAAATTGGTGTTTGCTATGCCTTTGTGGAATTCGAAGACATTATTGGTGTTCAAAATGCGCTTGAGGTTTGTATTTTTTAGAAAAGAAATTATATTGTTTTTTCTTTTTAGACCTAATATTTATTTGATTATCTAATTATTTGGTAACTTATTAAACAGATAAACACACTTTAGATCTCTGGATCTTATTGTTGTTGATCTGCTTTATGTGACTCTGCTATCTGTTACAGAAAAATCTATAATATCAAACTTTGTATTTCTTAAAGAAAGTGCTTCTGTTTGGTCCTATATTTCATTTGATTTATTGTCATTATGTGATGGTTTCATATGGCTATAAAGTTAATTAGATTAGTTTTGTTTAGTATTTCTAGATTTCGTGGTTCAATTCCATGGTTTATTTATTATGTTTAAGAAAAACCCTGATGTAGTGTGATTAGTAATGTGTAGTACAAATGATGTTGTCAAGTGTTAACATTTAATGCATTTTAAGTTTTTTTTTTTTTTTTTTTTGCCAAAATAAATTATAGGTAAGTTGCACTCTCCTTCCCTAAGAGATGCTTAAATTATATCACTTTCTAATTTTAAAAATTACACTCCTCTCTTGAAAGATCTAATATGCTACATTCTAATTCATTTTAATGTAAATGAACAGTGTTCAACAACAATAAACAAGCCTTCCAAGTACATTTTTCTTTTTTCTATGACCTTCATTAGCTGCTTTAGAGGATGAAATGAAGTTTTAAACACCTGATACTGGCTTTGGATTTTGAAGTTCCACAGAATAAATCAGAGACACAAAAAGTCCTTAATAAGCTTGTTTATATTAAAATAAACTGAAGTATAACACATTCATTTCTCAGGAAAGAGGTGGTGTTTAAATTTAGAGCAGAGGGCAGTGTAGTGTAGTTTACCCAAAAAATGAATATCTAATGCTGCTTCACTCAATTCAACTGTCTTGTTATGCAGAGTGCCCACATTATCATTCTTATTTTTTAACGTGATACTTCGGTTCACATCTGTCTTATTTCTGTACTTCATTGTAGGCTTCTCCCATACAATTGGCTGGAAGACAAGTATACATAGAGGAGCGGAGGCCAAACAGTGGCAGTGCAGCACGGGGAGCAAGTAATTATCCACCTTTCACTTTTTATCTTTTTCAAAAGTTGAGCTTTTCAAGTTATGGGGCTTTTGCCTAATGAGTAAGAAACTTTTGGATGTGTTTGTTGCTGTAATTGCTAGTGTTGGAGTCCACCTAACAATTAAGAGCTAGTGATTAGAGTAAGGGCCTTATGGCTGTACATGCTAGGGCACCGATTGTTGTGACAGCACATGGTATTTTATACTGAAATGCCCTTGTATTTAGGTAAAGTAATAAGTTCTAAATGCATGGCATACTAGTGCTTGGAGGAGATATGGGGATATTGTTTGGAAGACTCTGTTGTGGCTGGTGCTGTACAGTATAGAAATACTGCATTTTGGCCTTGCTATACATCTCCAGATCTTGATTTGATTGGGTGTGATGGTGATTGTAGTTTGGATCTTTGATGAAGGCTGGTGAAGAGCTGAAAGTTCATTATTATTTTCTGATGACACTGTATTGTGTCTTTGCTATACATTGTAGGATCTTAATGTGATAAGGTGTGATACTGATTATTCTTTAGGTCCTTGATTATGATATCTGGTGTGGAGATGAATTTCATTGTTAACTGTTTTTGTTATTGATAACAAAAGTTAGATGTGGGTATATTTTTATAGGGTTGTGAAACTGAAATTAGTGCTAGGAAATTTAAAAGATTAGCACTTAAGCGGCATTTATGTCATGCCTTGTTTTTGCTAGCAGTTGTTGTTGTATAATCTGAATGATTTATAAAGAAGAACAAGAAGTTGGTGAAGAAAATGTGTATATATATATATATATATTATGATGTAGATCAAAATGATATGGAAATACGTAGTTGCGAATTGCAATGATTTTATGGTTGTGGAGAATATAGCCTTGGGATAAAACTGTATGCAGAAACACATTTTTTGTGGAGGGCAACAATGTGTTTTGTTTCATTTGTTTTTTAATTTGATGAATTTGACGAATGAGGCTATAATAGTTTCATTGGAGGAATGATGGGTCCAACCTGGAATTGGATAGAAGACAATGTGGATATAATCACAAGGCATAAATTCTGCAAGTCCACATAAGCTCACTTCGATGTGAAAGTTTTATTTAACTACAATCTTGGTTTGCACAAGCTTATATGTAATGTGCTTTTTCCCCCTTGCCGTAGACAAAATATTATGACTTCAGAATAGCACTTATATGGATAGTTGTACATATTTGGATTGAATACTTGCAGTAGTATCCAAAATTCAATGTTGTACCTATAGTTTTTATTTAAGTGAGCTTCCAAGGTAGATAATCCAAATAGACCGTAGAATTATTTTGAGCTTGTTGGATTTTTAGTTTGTACGTGTTTCACTCGTGCTTTTGTGCAAGACAATAGCATACCTCATCATTCTTTGTACTTGTACTGCTTGTTTCCTTTTTTTTTTTTTTAATACAAGCTTGTTTCCTTTGATTAATGAAACTTATTATGTAGTGTGCATAGATAAATTGATTTGGTAGTGGTATTTGTGTATAATGGTTTGGTATTTTTAGTAGGTAGTTGTGAAGTGTTTTAGCTTTTTGTTTTCTGTTGAAAATAGTAAATGATTTTTGTAATATTGAAATCTATGTCCTTTTGTTTTTGGGTGTTCAGGAAGGGGAAGAGGAAGAGGTAATTATCAAACAGATGCTCCAAGAGGGCGTTTTGGTGCTAGGAGCATGGGAAGGGGAGGTAATCAGGATAGTTCAGACTACACCAGACTAAGAGGCGATGGTTATTTTCAGCGTGGTTCACGATGAGCATATTGTGGCAAAAGCATGCACTGTGATACCACCGTTAAAGGGCTTATACAATTAGTGAAACCGGTGTTTGGTGTGGGTATTTACTACAGAACTTTTTCTTCTGTGGTTTCACATGAAGTAGTCTTGCGTTTTGGGTGCTTCTTTTTCAAGTAAAAGCCATTGAGACTTCATTAGTTTGTTTTGCAAGCATAGGCTAGTTGGTTCCCCTTGGATGTTATTTATTATGCCATTCAGGTGGGAAATTTTGGTTATTTGTGTTATCCCATGTTTGGATTGTGGGGGCCTTTCAATGAGAAAGGGTGTTGAAAGTTAAAGTGGTTTAGACATTAATAGAGGTTGTGCTTAGTTATCAGATATTGCTGTGCATTTGTGTGCCTCAGCTCGCTGCCTTTGATGTTTTGTTTTGATAGTACCATATGAATCTTATAATTTTTTTCTTCTAATATGGGGCATTGACATTAACATAACCAAATCTTAATCAGTTAATGATTGATTTTCTTTCAAAACACCTCCAATGATGAGAATGATTTACTGGATTGGTATATTATTTAAACTTGTAACTCCCAGTCGTTACAAATGAACCTTGTTGAAGTTCAGTACACGGTATTTAGTTTATATCCTTCATGGACATGATATTCGATATAATCCTATGCTGCGTTTGAACAACAGAAAATTATGTTATATCTAATATAATATAAGATTTAGTTATTTTAAAAGTAAGTTTATTTATATTTATTGTATTTAATAATTTATGTTTTATATTAAATTTTAATGATTAAATTTAAAATTTATTTGATATTTTATTTTATTAATTTAAATTAATAAATAATTATAGAAGTATTTTTTATTTGTAAATTTGAATTAATAAAATATATTAATTTGAATTAATAAAATAAAATATTAAATATTTTTTAATTTATTAAAAAATTATAATATGTATTAATTTTAAATTTAATGATCAAATATTTAAAATTTGATATAAAATATGAATTATTAAGTAAAGTTTAAATTTAACAGTCATGTATTGTTATACAAATATCCAATAAAATTTACGAAATATTCAAGATTATCTATTGGATTTACGATTCATTTTTCTTTGCATTTTATATTTGTAGTATTTTGTAAGTAACACCTTGTTATAAATTGGAATCTTTTTACTCTAATTTTCTTGTTAGAGATTCTTAATACTTTTTTTCTTCTTCTAGAGACGCATTTTATTTGTATATCATTGATTTGATTTTCATGATTGCCTATTCATATCAATTTTAAAAAATTCTACACAATAATTTAAACAATGCTTTGCCAGTTCTGCACACGTAAGTCAATTTTTAATCGTTAATTTCGAAATACTATAGAGTATATTTATGAAAAAAAATTAATTATTGAAATTTTTGGATGTAATTTCTATATATTTAGGGCGTACGTCTTCTCTGTTGACTATTGCATTATTTGACTCAATAGCATGCATTTTTCCCTGTCATGGTTTTGATTCCGTCATCGATCTGCTAGTTGGAATCTGGTTGGGGTGTTTCTTCACATGCTAACAAAATATATTACCTATTCAACAACATTCAATCCCTCCCTCTCCCTTCTGTAATCAAAACCCTTTGATTAAATGACTTCTCCTGACTGTTCCACAGCCATCGAGGTGATGTGATCCATATCACATTATTGGTCCCCAATTTTTCCCTTGTTAAGAAACAGATTAGTCCTTCAAATTTCCGTTCAGATTGAGATCATCTATACAACATTTTCTTGGGCGTTGTGTTGTGCACCTTTCAAGCTGGCTGTTGGAACATGTTCTCATTACTTCCCACATTAATACCTCAATGTAAAGTTCCTAATAAGAAACCCAATTCCTTGTGTCAATGTCCTGTTACGTGTAATGTAATGGCGTATTATGTTGTTTCCTCTTAAGGGGTAGTGCCTTTGATGCAGCAAATCAACACATAAGTTCCAAATAAATCATGCTATCAATGAGTACACGGTGATTTATTATATCATTTGCGCACAAACTCGTAGCACCTTAGTGCTACAGCCTACAGAAACGCAAGATACAGATGAGTTTGTGATTTCAGTTAACACTAACAGAATGTGCTGCCTTCTCAACAGATCCTCTCTATAACATTGGCTCCCACACAAGAATTTCAATACATCACACCACACTCGCTTGTGCCTACGAACTTCACCAATTCAAGCACCTGCAGTAGCCATAGCTCCTTGATGAGAATGAGGCGGAAAACATTGTGGTTCATTGCTTCCATCCTCATCTTCCTCTGTGTCCCAAAGGAAACTAGCATACGCAGCATGTACATGGCTGTTATCATAAAACCATAACTATTGTCAGAAAGCATTCATTCTCAATAATATATATATGTAAGCTGACATTACTGCTTGCTCTAGAAAGTAACTAAATGTTATATTCGAAGCACATGCATGACATGCATACCTGTCTTCAGGAGAGACTTGCACTGCTCTTTCAAAATAGGTGGAGGCACGTTCTTGGTCATGGTGTAGCTCCCAAACTAGCTTCCCATATTGTGATAGAACATCTCCATCATTTGGGTCTGCTAGTATGGCACGGGAATAATACTCCTCTGCTCCTTCACGGTCTTGTTTGCACTGTCAAAAAACCAAAAGTCATCCACTAATAAAACCAAGTGTCGGTGATTGTAAAAAATTATAATGTGTTCAAGTTATTCTGAAAATAGATTTTTTTTTAATTATTTCTATCATCAACAGTTGATTTAAAGTTAGTTAAAATTACAAAATAATTCAACTGAAATCAACACTGTATGCATCTCTACTTTTTTTTTTTTTTTTAAATTAACCAAACCCTTGTGAAAGTAGCTTAGTATGACCCAAACAATTGGCTATCACAATTAAGAGTTGTTTTGAAACAAAAAGAAATAGAACTTACCTGATACAGAAAATTTGCATAATTCCTGAGAAACAAGGGATTCCCAGGATTTTCCTTCACCATTTTCTTGTAATATTCTTCCACCCCATGCCTATCTCCATCATTTCCTCCAGAACCCATAGGATTATGATCACCACTTCCACCACCACCTCTGCACCCTCCTATGCCATCACCACAACACTCTACCCCAAGCCCCTTTGCAAGATACATTTCTTTATCACCACCAGCCTCTTCCTTGTCACCAAAACTCACCCTGCAAACCCCATCCTTCACTCCCACCTCTTCACTCAATATCACACCCTTCACCACACTGAAACCATCTTCACTCTCACTCTCCGTCTCTTCATCTTCCTCTTCTTCACGCAAACCATTGCGCTTAGTTGAGAAAGAAGGAATGGTCTCCAGCACCAAGCTCCTATGTCTCCCTGAAAACCTCTTGGGAGGGTCTGAATACTCCAACCTGTCTTCATTATTGCAAGAAGAGTAGACCAAGTCTTGCAAGTTCCCATCAGATTGGACTCTTCTAAACCCTTTGTTTTGCCTTTCAAGCTCACCAATTGAGGGAGAGATTGGAGAAGAACCACATGAGAAGGTAGAGAAAGAAAAGGACCCAGTTTGATGCAAAGACAGTTTGTGATAATGTTGAGGGACACTGGTAGGTGGAAAATGTTTAAGCCCATGACAAGTTTCTGAGTGAATATTGTTATTTGGACTATCTGTAAAGGAAGAGAGGAGGGAGCCAAGAACTGGTGTTGAAGAGCTTCTTAGCATCATGCTTTCTGATTCAAGATAGCTTCTGTGTGGCTGTCCCTTGCTCTTTGAGAAAAAAAGTTCTAAGAAAATAGGACAAAAAAACTGCAAATTACTTCTCCAAAAAAAGAACAAAACTAGAAAAGAGAGAAAAACATTGGGTTTTGAAACACAGAACAAATTGACATGGCTACAAGAAAAAGTAATGGTGCTGAGAGATTGAGAAAAATTTGTAATACCCCTTCTAGATGATGAAGAGACCTTGATGACTCTATAATCTATGAAACTCAGATGAACATTGGAAGGGAGAGATTTTTCTAGCAGCAGATAACAAATCAAAACATCTTAAAATAAAAAGGTGGATCATTTTATATAAAGGAGAGGACTTTGCATGTGAACATGAGTTGTTTAACCTTCTCTATCTAATATTTTAATTAAGGGAAAAAAAAGGTGGTTTATTTTTCACATTTAAAAAAAGGGGTTTATTTGGGTAGTGATTGTGTGGTAGATAGGGCATTTGGATCACATTTGATACCGTACGAATCAAGTTGCAGAGCAAAATATCAAGTTGGCTAGTTGTGTTTTGCCGTTTGGTGAAGGGAACGGTGCATATGGAAAGTACTTGGAAAAGGCCAACCTTGTTTCCCATGTAATAATTACGGGGAGAAAATTTAGGTATTTTTTCTTTTAATTAAATTATTAAAGTAGTTCTTAAATTATATATCACTTTTAATTTAATTTTTAATTTTAATAGCAAATTTAAAAATTTAAAAATCATAATTTATCATTCATTTAAGTCTTTTTATTAAATAAATTCTATTTTCTTAAGTAAAAATGTTTGTAGTACGGTAATGTCATGACATACATGTGACATATATTACATAGATATGTCACATGATATATATATATATATATATATATATATATATATATAATGTGACATATAATTATAATATGATATTATTTTAATTTTTGAAATTATAATATAATGTTACTTTAATTCTTAAAATTGTAATTTAATATTATTTTAATTCATGAAATTATAACTTATATCACTTTAGTTTCAAGATATTGTCATGATTTTATTTTAATTAATTAGTTATAACTTGAATATTTATATAATACATAAATAATTAAGTTCATATTATAAATACGATGATGTATTCAAATTATATTAAAAAAATATTAGAGGATTATTAAACTAGATAATTAAAAAAAATTAAAAGATAATAAATATTATGTATTACTATTATAATATATTGTTAAACATTTTAATCTTTCTAAAAAATAATATTAATTTAACTATTTATTTCATTCTATAATTTTTCGAACTAAAACTAGACACTATTAGTTTTAAGGAATAAAAAATTCATAATAGAGATAAAACAAAAAAAGAATATAAAAAATTTAAAAAAATTTAAGTGTGTTATATTTCATCTTTTAATTGTTAAATATTTTTTTATTCATTTTAATTTATAATAAAAATTATAGTATATATATATTATTGTAATAGAAATAGAATATCAAAGATATAAAAATAAAATTTTTGCAAAATAAAAATAGTAGATATTTTTCGCAATAAAGAAATAAAAAATATTTTATATAAGAAAAATAATTATGAAAGTAAAATATAAATATAGAAAATTATAAACTATTTTATTTATGTATTTTAAAAAATAAAATGGATAAAAAATGAGAAAAATTGACAATTAGAAGAGAAGATGTAACAAATAATTGCTTATGTATTATATATAAGAATTAATACATACAATGTTAAATACCAAATTTTTAATATTTATCATATTAATTATGACATTAATTTAATTATCTATTTTATTGTGAAAATATTTAAGTCATAATGACTTGATTAAAATAAAATTATGATAACATTTAGAAACTATAGTGACATTGAATTAAAATTTTAAAGACTAAAATGACATTATGTTACAATTTTAATGACTAAAGTAACATTATATTACAATATTAAGAATTAAAATGATATTTCTTTATAACCATATATACATATACATCACGTGACACATGTCATACGTGTTATTCTACATATGTAAAACATGTTTAATACGTGTATATCATATAATATCATCGTGCCACGTAGGCATTTTTATTTAAGAAAATAAAATTTATTTAACGAAGGGATTCAAATGGATGACAAGTTACAATTTTAGGGACTTTTTTTGACTTTCATTATAATCAAAAACTAAATTAAGAGTGACATATAATTTGAAGGACTAATTTGATCATTTATTCAATTTTTTTTAGTATGGTTAGTGTTAATTTTATTTTGATAATATACAATTACATTTAATACAAATCTTATTAATATATATTCACATATATTATCAAAATAGAACTTCAATTATGATTGGAGATAAGTACTAATTACAACTAATAAACTGTATATAAATTTTGTCTTAATTATAATTGACCATTATTAATTGCTATTAATCTTTAATTGTCTTTTATTTTTAAAATAATTTTATTTTTATTTGTTTATCATTTCTAAAACTTAAGATAATATTAATTATTTTTTAAAGGGAATTATTTTACTTTTAGTCAATTGTATTTTCACTTTTTACTTGAATTTTAATTAATTTACATATTTATAACTAATATACTTGTAGTGGAGTAAAAAAAAAAAAAAAAAATATAATAGAAATTTCAAGAAATTTTTTTATTTTGTATATAAAATTATTAAAATTAATAAATAAAAAAACTAAACAATAACATTACAAATTAAAAAAGAAAAAAAAAAGTAGTATTATTAAAGCAAGAAGTAGTACTACCAACCTTCACATGGAGGGCATGTCCCTCCAAGCATTTTTTATGGAATTTTGATTCACGTTTTAATTTATGAAACCACCACATCAAGTATCCTTACACGTTTCTCTTTACGCGCTTCTTAGACTATTCTAATTTTATTACTAAATTCTATTATCGACACCTATGACATATTCGCCGATCGATTTCTATGGGGAAATTGGGGCCACAAATTCCTTATATTACAAAATTCATTCAGACAAAATCAAAACACACCTTTCAGTCTTTATTTTTCTTTCTCACTTTATAATCAAGTTATATTTATATGGTTTATAGTATATTTTATAATACCTTTTACAATTTCTCTTTTCTTTTATTTTTTTTTTTAGGTGTGCAAGTGACTTGAGTTGGATCGAGTTTGAATAAATCCGTTATCTGATTCAATCAAAATTTAATGGGTTAGATTGAGTTAAATTTTTGTATTTTTTTTTAAAATCCACTCACAAACGAGTTGAGTTGGGTTAAGTTAATCGGATCAATATAATTATATTTATTTATTTTGTAAAAATTTAAATATTTTAAAATAGATGTAAATTATTTGATACATTGTTACAAATTCAATATTATCAATTTATAAAACAAACAATAATACAAATTAAAATTTAAAATTAATTTATTAATTTATTACATTATTATCAACTCAAAAAATTAACATTAATTAGTACAAAATAAAATTTAAAATAAATATATTATATTGTTACAATATTATCAATCTAAAATACAAAACTTATTATTAAGAGTAATTGTGAGTATTTTATTAAATAAATAATCATTCAAACATTATTATTATTATTATTATTATTATTATATATTATCAAGTTGGGTCAGGTCGCTAACGGGTTGAAAATATAAAATTCGTTACCCAATCCATACATTATTGAATTTTGGTCAGATTAAATTGGATCTGACCCACTAAAAAAAATCTAACCCAAACTCATTAAATTAATTTTGTTGCAATGAATGGTAATGTAGCAAGTGGTTGGAGACTTAAACACCTCTTTTGCAAAATTCCAATTCAATTTTCGGTGGAAGAATCTTCATGCACTTCTACACTTTCTATTAACCTATTTTCTAAGATGCTACATTTCAATAATTTTAATGCCATTTGGGTCGATGACTACTATTCTTAAAAGGTTGACACGTGATTTTTCCATATCTTCAAACTTTGAATGGTGTATTTATATGTAAAAAAAATTCTATAATAAAGAAAAAGAGAGAGAAAAAATATATTAATGTGATTTAAAGAAAATGTGATATGATGAAAATGTTATAAAGAATATTTTTAAATAATATAATTGATCACTTTGAGATATCTGTACCCTACAAAAATTGATGATTCAAAATCTTAAGTTTTGCTTTGTTAATTAGTGTGAGTTTGGATTATAATAAAAAAAGTTCAGATGAGTTAAATTTATTTTTTAAAATTAACTTAAAAGAAAATATTAATTTTTTTAAACTTTTAATTCAATTGAGATTTGTTTGTATTTAATACGGTGATTTATTTTTTGTCAAACATATAGGTATTATATTTGAAATTAACTAACTGAGATTATTATAAATTTTAATCGTTTAAGTAAACATAATATTATGCCTTGAAATTTTGCATGTGTCACTATTTACTAATATGTTTATTTTTTTTCATTATAGATCGAATATACACTTTAGTATGTTTATTTATAACAATATATAAGGATAATGAACTTTTTTTATACACGTTTTTAAGGCAATCTTACTCTCAAAATAACCCTCAAATCACTTTCCTTCTCATTATAAACACTAATAAGTTCTATTTTTATTTTAATATATTTTTATAATTTAAATAAAGATATAGAGTCGTGTAGTATTTCTTTCTCCATATTAGTATTATAAAATAAAATAAAAAAATCGGATTTTGGTAACTGTAAAATTTTGTCATTTCTCTAAAATTTGGAATCATCATTTTTTTTCTTATAAAATGGACGAATTTTGATTTTATTTTTGTAAAAAAAATTTTATTGATTTTTGTTCTTCCAAAATATTAACATTATTATTTTTATTTCTAATGGTTATTTTAAGATAAATAAACAACATATTTATAAAATATTTTAGGAGTGTTACACTTATATGATATTACATACAGTTGCAGTTATTATAAGAATATTTACTCAATTATATAATAAATATATAAATAGTTGATATAAAATATATAGGGAGTAAAAATATTAATTTTAAATTTTAAAAGAATAAGTAAAAGATGATCAAATCGAAATTTTATAATTTATTATTTATATATTTTTATCATAATTTTAGTTATTAAATTTTCTAATAATAAAATTTGTTTTATCTATTTCTTATAAAATATATTTCTCATATTGTAGAAATTATAAATATTTGTTATCTACGCTAACTCTTTGTTGTCAGTTATTATTCGTCAGAAAAGGAATTTCTATTAATATAAGAAAAATGCTAGATCCTTCGAACATAATCGTCCGAAAAATTAACCGATATATTGATAATAAATATTATATTAAATTTTTTAACAAATGTCACTTTATTATTTATTCGAAGGATGATTCAACTATTTTTTTTTTTGAATGTATAACATTGTTCTTAACCTAAATGAATTGTACGTACTAAACCCAATTTTTTTTTACAAGAATATAAAAAACAACAACAACACAAGAAGAGAATGTTGAATTATACTTTCACCGATTTTTAATATCTAGAAAAAATTAATTCACGCCAATTAACTAAGTTAATTTATATTATTTGATTTTATTGATCTTATAAAAAATAACTTATTTTTTTAAATTATCCTTCATTAAAATTTATTATAAAAAATAACAAGAAACATTAAAACTATAATCTCAACTAAATAAAGTATATTTTTAAAATGATAATATTAAATTGAGTGAGAATACTTAAAATTTATTTATATTTAAGGTTAATAATAAACAAGATTTTTTTTGTTTATATCCAAAATTAAAAAAATATATTATGAATTGTAAAAAAAAATTGTCAGGACAAAGATTGTCCAAAATAGAATATATAAAGGGTAAAATAAAGGAAAAAAAAATTATAAATTTATACTAATTTACTCTATAATTTAAAAGTGCATCCAATTTTTTTTTCTTTTTTACACTTAACCTTTGTTTAGTGGGATAATTTAATAGGGAGGGAATAGATTATAATAATGAGGGAGATAGATTATAATGAATTTGAAAAACAGATTTGTGCTGGGTGGAGAGTATTTATAGAGAATTATGAAGAATTAAAAATGAGTTTCACTTAATTTTTTTTAAACATCTCAATTAAGGGGATTTTTATGAAATTTGGGAAACTTGTAAAATTATAACATATAAAAAATAATAATTCAAGCTATATCATAAAATAAAAGTAAAATACTAATTATAAATACATAAAAATTTAATTATATAAAATTACAGCTTCAAATCCAATCGGTGACCGATGATGAATGATTCGTAAGAAGTTAAATATCATGCTGGACTATTTTTGTTTTTTGTTTTTTAGTTTTGGGGTTCTTCTGCTTTATTCTATTTTGAATTTATTGTTTGTATAAGACACCTATTTGGGTGAGTAGAAAGAGGAAATTGACACAAATAAATGTCATGTAGAAGTTTCTGCTTTGCAAAGTTGCAAAAACATTAATACAAAGATATTTTTTTCTAGAAGAGAGGTTGGCGAAATGATTCACGGATCTTACTACAATACAATACAAATGGTTGTGAAGGAACTGCCTCCAACACATTCATAATCAAGGGTTCACATATCATACACACCATCCCTTAAAATTGAAAATTGGGACACGTTATTTCTTATTCTTGTTGTGCACCGAGGGTTATCATATACATACATATACACACATATACATGTCTTTATATTGATAAGATATTATTCATTTTGAGTCCAAACTTTTATGATTTTACTTTTGGACATCTTTCATATCTATTTTATTATTTAAATGATGTAGAACTTTACTTGCATCCTAATAATTTAACATGAAAATTGATTATGAGGTATTAAATTAATTTTCGTGCCCCACTATAAGTTTCATAAAGTAAAGAAACTCCTATATTTACTCTTGAACAAATTTCAATCTAAAGAGACTTTATTAAAGTTTACTTAAATTAGCAAAAATGATTAAAAATATGATACATTGAAACTTGAATTGGGAATACTATTTTAATTTTTCACATTAGTCCGATTTTGATGGAGTTTTTAGATTCTAATTTTTAAATCTTATATTTAAGACAATACATTTTTTAATAAAATAGTTTTAAAATCAATTTTAAGAATAATTTTAAAATGATTTTAAGTCAATCATGTTTTAAAAAAATGTCATTAACTTAATCAATAGGCATAATCAAATTGATTATGGTATAAATTGGTTACTTGAGAAAACCACATTATCGATTAAAAACAGGCAAATAACCATAAGAGCAATACATTTTTATCATCTATAAAAGGAAGTTCAAGATGTCTAAGACCCTTGGATTAATTTAGATTTACATGTTACATGTAACAATAAAAACTCTAATAAAGATTTTTTATATTTATAAATATTTCTTAAACTCGACTAAAATTGCTTTAATAAAAAAAAAAATGAAAATAAGTTTTTATATAACAAATAACAAACGTATCCATTAATAATATTGGCATTTTTTTTTTATTTTGGTGTACATAGATGATTGATAAAAAAAAAAAAAAGTTTCAACATAAAATCTTTTACAAAGTACTGAAATCTTTGAGCCCTGTACCAATCACTTTACAATCTTGGCATTTTTCACGCTCTTAACTTTTACACTCATTTTATATTTTTCTAGAAAACTACTATATCCTCCGAAAGAAATACGAAATACATTCCGAATGTTTAAAATATTCATATTTTTTTTAATAAATTTATTATAAAATAATTATTTAATTTAAAATTTTACAGTTTAAATTAATTTTTTAAGTATTCGGAACAAATTTCGGACCACTATTTCGGAGAATGTAGAATTTTTCATTTTTCTATCACTGTCTTTCTTTCTTTTTCCCTCTCTATATATATATTATTTTATCGTTTTTTCTTGCTATTTCTGTCTAATTTTAATTAGCGAACAACATTTATAGATATGAAAGATTTATTTTTCATCCATTCATATAAACTTAGGTTTTTACCCACTATTAAAAACGGATAGTATATACTGTAAAAAAAATATAGATAGAATATAATTATTATAATGCATTTTTTATTTTTTATTCATTCATTCTAGAAGATAATACACAAATTAACAATTACTTTTGTTTTCATTAATTTAATATTTTCATTTATATTAAAAATATTTTGTCAGACTTTATTAATTTTAATAAAGTATTTAAGGTAAAATTTTAAGATACTGATCTGATATGAAATGAAAAGAATATTAACATTGTTTTTAACTTTTTAATATGCCTTTTATTATTATTTCCATCTCATTTATGATTTTTTTATTAATCATCTCATTTATGATAAGTTTGTAAAAGATTTAAGAATTAGGTGGAATCAGGAACATAATTAACCAATCACTTATTGTTTTATTTCTATTGCTGTTTTCAAATTTGAGTTTTGTAAGTGTAATTGTATAAAAACTAGATGAAAAGATTTTTTTATTGTGTATTAGAATCTTAAAGCAAATTTTTTCCCCAAAAATATATTACTGAAAAAAAAAGTAATTAATAGTGTCTCTAAAAACATGATATACACTAATCCCCCAGCTTAACCAAGTTTAACCAACAATTTTTTTTAGCAGTGAAGGATTTTCTGACAAAGTAATTTTTGATAATTAAAATAATTTTAATTTGGTCACAAAATAATAGATTTTAATTAAAGCCGAGAAAGAAGAATAAAAAAAATGCTCTCTTTCTCCGATCTTCATCATCTTGTGAGTTTAGGGTTTTTCAGAATTGAGCTTTCGCTCCATTTTGGTTCCCAAACACAACCTCCAAAATTTCATTTTGAATACCCACGTACGATACAACATCGCAATTTCTCCGTAGCACGACATTTGTTGATTGATCATGTTGGCTAAGAGACTAAGTTCCTTACTCAAACTCTCGCCAAAACCTCACTTTTCCACGTAAGCTTTCTGTTGCTTCTTCTATTTCCTTCTTTATTGCTTTCTTTTGGATTTAATGGCTCTTGCTTGATACTCATACGTTCCTTCCGCGGCTTCAAATTTTACAACTTCTTCGAGTTTTGTGTTTCTATTAGATGTAAATTTATGTGTGTGACGAAGTTGGAAAAAAAAAAATGAGGATTTTGAGTGTATTCATAAGTCCATTTTTGCCCTTGAATTTCCACCCTTTAAAATTTCGCGTATCGTTGCTCCACTAAGTAATCATATTCTGTAAAGTCTGAATTGAGAATATAGTAAGATGAGTCCTAACACAAAGGAAGTAAAATGATAACCTTCGGGATTTTTTCTTTTTGGGTTTTAGCTGAAAATTCGTTTGCTTGTGAAAAACATGGAGAGCTTTGTCATCGTTACATTGTTGAAATGGAGGTCATAATATGAACTGATATATTTTTTTTTAGTTGGTATAACTCCGTATAACTGGATCGGTTCAAGCTGGAGGTCAAATCCCAATTTTCAGTTAAAGAATACAAGTGTCGAACCAATTATACCGATGGCTTTCGGTATATGAACTGTAAAATGGTGCTTGATTGTGATGACCATCTTTTATACTGTTGCAGTTCCACGAAGAAAGTGGATGAAGAGACAGGCAAATACTATGGTAGGAAGGCTGTGTCATTTGTTTTAATTACTATTACTGGTGGTGTTGCTCTAAGTGCCCTTGATGACCTTGCCATCTATCATGGATGTAGCAGGTATGTGTTGAGCTGTAACGTGGTATTCTGAATCATGAGTTGATAATAGCTAGTTATTTACTTTATTGATCAGTCTCATGGGGAATTCATTTAGCAGACTAGAGAAATCATTAAGAATTGCAGTTTTGCATGTGGTTTTAGACTTTAGAGTAGGAAGCCAAAATAGACTTTATGATTTGATTTACATTGTTTATGCCATTTCCTATCTCCCCACCTTCATTGTCTATGGAGAGGAGCTGTTCCTCAAGGAGCCTAAGCCTTTCCTTTTTTAACTGAACTATCACCATTCTCTTATCCTTCCTTCATAACAATGCCATGATCATATTTAGAGCAGTATCAATTTGTAGGCGAATTAGTGTCTAAATTTTGTAGTTATGTTTTGTTTCAATATAACACGGTATGGCATTTTCAGTTTCACAGATATGAAAAAAGCACAAAGCTGGTGCATGCAAATCAGATCTAGACTACTGTTAATAATTATACATTTAGTTTGCTAACTTTACAAGGTTTCTCATGGAGTAAGGAGGATTTCTAAGATATATATATATATATATATATAGAAAGGTTTAAACGACACCGGTGTAACTTTTAGTAAGTGTTACACTGCTCATTAACTTTATATTAAATGTGAATTTTGTAAATTCAACCGTTAGATTGAAAATTTATATCACTTTATATGTGTATATCAAATTTTGTAAAATTGAACAACAACTTGAAGGTAATCAAAGTGTTCATATTTTAGTATATTTTAGTATATTTTGAAATAAATATATTACGTATATATATATATATATATATAACTACCTTGTGATATCTTGACCCATAAATGAGAGTAGCCCTCTAACTTTGATTAAAGTAATTGCTACTTTTAAATTCTTCACCATCCTATCCCATTTTGTAGATTCGCTTCTATTTTTATTTTTCTTTCACATTTATATAGTAAATACTACATCGTGAGTTGCTCAACATAGCACAAAAGGAGTTGCTCAACTTTTGTTCTTTGCATTTCATTATTGAAAATTTTATCTACCTTGACATCCCCTAAAATTATTAGCTTTGAAATTTTCAGCAAGGCCATGGAAAAGGTCAGCAAGAATCAGGCAGTAATAGATGCTATTGGAGAACCAATTGTTAAAGGTCCATGGTATAATGCATCTCTTGCAGTAGCTCATAAAAGACATTCTCTTTCATGTTCATTTCCTGTTTCTGGACCACAGGGCACTGGTGTCTTGCAGTTGAAGGCTGTTCGAAATGGAGGTTAGCAATTTGAATATTTTATCTTTATGATTTGAATGACACTTTTTCCTAACAGCCAGTTAACCTCTTTTAGTCTGTATAACTATTTTGATCTGCTTGCTGTATGAATCTGCTTGCTTACTTTGACATATATTCTTTTGCTTGTGAATTCTACTTGAATTTATAAGATCTATTTAGCTTGGAACGTGGGAACACCCAAGGCCACTTGATAGCTAATGAGAATTATTATTGGTTTGGCTTCTTTGAAACAGAGGACACTTGGTCTTCCTTCTTCCTTTCTCGCGATTGGGACATTTTAATCATGGATGCTCTCCTCCATGTACCTGAGAACGAGGAGAGGAACCGAACATTGCGGATCAATCTCATTGACAGGCCTTTTTCATGTACTTCTTGCCCTGGGTCCACTCCTCATCCATCAGAAAATTCAAAGGCAAAATTGAGTTCTAATCAATAAAAGCTTAAATGACAATCTTTATTTTTTAAACCGTTTACATGATTTTGAGGTTAGGTGAACGTCAATATTTGGCTGACAGAATAAATTTGTTTTCAAATTTTCTTTTGGTAATGTGTTAAAATATTATTCATCGTCTTATTTCACTATGAAATAAATTTTGCCTTGTAGAATGATGTAAATTTTCCTTATTTTGTGCTTTTTTTCCCTTATGATCTTGCTTGCTATTTTTTTGAGACTGTAATTTTCTTTTCTACTGAAGTGAGCAATGAGATAGTTTTTCTTTTTTTGGGTGACCTTGCCAGTTGGCAGCCTTTACCTTCATGTCTACTTCACTACATATACTGTCAGGCCGTGTCATTCATGCATCTTATACTATATGATAAGATAATGCTTTGTTGAATTAGATGATCTTGTGATCCTTTGGCGTACAAACTGTAGAACTGTGTAAATATCCTGATAGCATAAACAATGGCAATGGTTGTATTGGTGGGAGATAGCAAGGATAGTTGCGATAGTGAAAGCAACGTATTATGCTCACCTCTCTATGCTGGATATTATTGTAATATAGTTTGTTAGGTGGCTCTATCTGAAAGTTTTGGGGTGGTTGAAATTTGAGTTTGACATGATATCAAAGCGTTTCCACGTGATTAGGCACAAGAGAATGGGATTCTGCACATGTCTCCCCTTAGTACCTGTGATTAGCTGCCGAGATAAACTTATTTAATTTGGCGTGTATCGATTATTGTACATGCTTAATTATCTTAAGTTTCATGAAGTTCATACCTATATTTTTTCAAACGTAAGGTTCGAATTTTTGGTTGTTTTAGATGCACTTTTGATTATCATATTTGTGTTCCGACTGGGTCCCTGGAGGCTTCTATGTCGATCAGTTTGTCTAATTAAGCGGGTTTTAATATTGCCTTGGTATGCCAAAAATTGTACATTGCATAGGAGTTGGGATTAAGAGAGTTTATAAACACTTCATCTTTTTAATTTATCGAGATGTCTTTCCGGGATAAGATCATAACAAGCGATTGAATATCAAAGCATATAATATTTTGGATGGAGCGAAATCGTGTGATTTTAATGATGTGAGCAGGCTACTTATGGGATATATTGTTCTATCTAATATATTTTTCAGCAGGCTACTTATAGGATATATTGTTCTATCTATTCGTTTAATATATTTTTCAAAACGAGTATTTATTCATCTTGGGCTGATACTCCCCATCTTATGCTTACAAACATTGTTTACAATTTAAGGTTGCACTTTGAACCCTTAAACGTGATATTACTACCTCATGCTCACATTAACAGGAGTGCTAGAATCTTTGTTGATGTTACCAACTCAGTTAATCTTTTGCCACCTAATGGACACCGTTGTTCTGCAATCATCTGGAGCCTAACACAAATCAAGGATGAACCCCCTCCCGCAACTTTGGGCCTTTGAAACAATCCATGATTTGGGCCCAGGTTGCAAAATGTTTGATCTTATGTGCAATTAAGGTTTCCTTAGTTTTGATTCCTTGCATTGTGTGGTCATAAATTCACAATAATTCAAACTAAATAATGTACACTAAAAATTCACTCAATAGTTAAAAAAGTATGAATGTGTGAACTGCCAAAAGTGTAATAGTGATTTTTTAAGTTTGGTTTATTTTAATATAAGAATTGCTAAAGGTCAATTTTTATAGAAGTAAATTGATACTTCTGTTTGAACTCTGGTATTTGATGAAGGAACATTCGAACTCTTATCTTCAATGAAGGAGTACAAGGACCAAGCCACTTATACTTAAAAACATTTTAAAATCTATATGCATGGTAACAGATTTTAAGTCTTTAAAATTGATTAACAAATATACTAATTCAATCACTTGGATTTCAACCACTGATTATTCTAGTGGTTGGAGGAGGGGAGAAGGGATTGGGGAAGTAGAAACATAGAAAATCTAGTTTCGATCCAAAATAACATGACTTGTTTAATATGTAAGTCTCATTTGATTCAAGTTACTAACTTTGTGGCAACAAATTGACTTGTTTCTATTTTAAACTTGACATTTCTTGAGTTGAGAGAAGATACGTTCTAGATTGCAAAGATAAAACATTGAAAATAAAATGATGAAAATATAAATTTTGCTGGTTCTTGCTTTAAAATCTATAGAATGAACGGAATGGAAAGAATGTGGTTTTTTTAATCATACGAATTAAATTTGATATAAAAAGGGTTTACACCGAGGTAGACATAAAAATTTAATTTTATATAAAAAGTGTTTACAATAATTTAAGCATGTTATTTGATCTACTGAGTTAGACACTTAGTAGAAATTTTATATACGAAGTTGTACACTGATTTTATAATTACATTCTCGTGTCTTTTCTACAGTGTTTCTGAATAACTTTCTAAAAAAATTTAAATTTACAAGTCCCTATATATTCCCCTTTCTTCTCTACAAACATTAAAACATTATAATTTGCTATGATTTTCTTTCACTGTTATCGTTCATTTCCTACCTCTTAGAACCTGGAAGTACCAAAACATGTCTTCATATCCAGCCATTAAATGCTCTAGAAATTATTGTTCGTATCATCAGGGTGTCTACCACGAGAAGAATTACCAATGATTCTGTGGTAATAATTCATAAGAATAGCAAGATGTGATCATTTGATATGATAAAAATGCGTTTTTATCTTGAGAAAGTTGGTATCCCATATTTCATTTCATGTATGTATATGTACATGTGCTGGCAGTGATAATATACTCCATCCTTCCGATCTATTCTCATAAGATCAAAATCTCTCCTTTTAATAAAAATCAATATAAAAATATTTTTTTATTAATTACTTCCACCTATCAATCAGAATTTATATAACACATTTTATAATTTTTATAAAATATAAAATTTATTTTTTTATCTTTTGTCCTTATTGTGAGTATATATATTTTTCATTGATGAATAATGAAAGAGAATTAGATAAATAAATTTTCTCTCTTACTATTTGAACTCTTCAATTATCATTTATTAAATTTATTTATATTAATGCATAAATTTTAATATAAAATAATATCTTTATTAATCTCATAACAATTTAATAATAAATAAAAAGAGTAAAATTAATATATCATGATTTTTTTATAAAACAAATAAAATTAACTAGTTTCTTATAATAAGTATCAAAAGAATTATTATTTTTTAGAATTTCATTTCATTATTTTTTTTCAAAAATATTAATGGGCTCCTTTCTTCCATGGTGTGTTATTTGGCTTCCAAGGAGGAGCTCCCTCTTTCTTCATGGACTAGGAAGAAGGATGATGGCTGGATGTTCCTCAAGGGTGGTGGAAAAATAATATTGAAGCGGTGGGGGTCAAGGTGGGCAAAAATGGAGACGAGAAGGTGGAAGGTGTTTATGGTGCTCTTGGCTAGCTCTCTCCATCAAGGGTTGGTGGAGGCCACTCAAGGAAAACTCAAACTCTCTTTAGGGTAGAGAGGAGAGGAGGTTGGGCATGAGGACCCTAGGAGAATAAGGAAGGATTTTGAGACACAAAGGTTCACTCAAAATGCATATATTCCAAAGTGAGTACAAGGTAGAGAGACTAAAGTACTTATAGAGAGAGGAGAGCATCCTAGGGTTTCTTGGGAGCATTTGGCCGAAAATTTCAAGCTCAAATGCATCCTAAATGAACCCTAGATGCAGCCAAAATGAAATAACTCTCATCTCTCCAAAAAGACTAAAGCACCCTTAGTCCTAAAAAATGAAAGAAATGGACTTTTGACCTTACTAGTCAAGGTTAAGTTCCTAAATAAATCTTAAGCCTAATTTTGTCCCATAATACAAAGGCTAAATAAAAATACACAATAAAATCCTAATAGCTAATGTACCCCCAATATACAAGGACAAAATAAGAAAGGAAAACAACAAGCTAAGGAGAGGACCCAAAAATCAAAATCCACACACATGATGATCATGGCTTTTGGTGTGATGTGTTCTTCATCTTTCTCTACTCTCCTAGCCATAAACCTTGTGATAAGCCCCCTATACGATGTCTCAAGAATGGTCCTCTATCAAATATCCTTATATTTTATTTAGAAAATGCTGTATCTTCTGAAAAGGAACCCGAAATTTTGTCTAAAATATTAAAAAATTATTATTTTTTAATAAATTTATTATAAAATAATTTTTTAATATTTCTGACGAAAGTTCGGCTTTATATTTCGGAGGCTGTAGCAGTAGCAATGCTCATGTTATTTTTAGCCAAGAGTTTTCACTTTTCAAAAACTTTCAAATTCTATTTTCTCTAACACTCGCTTCCTGTGACTGTATGCGTTGGCTTCATTCGACCCACTCATTCCTCAGCCCACATTCCAATTCATTTCTTCTCAACAATGATCTTTTAGTCCAAAAATAAAGCTTGAAAAAAATAAAGATGAGGTGTAAATGTATTACAAGAAAAAGGAACCAAGAAAAAAAAATAAAAAAATAGTTAGAGAGAGATAAAGTGAAAGAAGAAGGAATGCATGAATTTTTTTTTGTTTGTAAAATGAGAATAACATTATAAGGTATTAGAAAAAAAAGAAGTGTGTTTATTAAGAAGTAACGTACGTGTATATATTATATTATTTACCAAAAAAGTATACTTGGTGGTAAGATGAATTGAAGCATATGGGGTTATTGTAGAATTCCATGTGTAGGTGGTGTGGGGTCCAGAGGTGTGGAGAAATGCCATGCCAGGTGGCGAGGAGTAACGTGGCTTTACATTGTTTGTTGTTTGATATTGGCATTTGGATGTTATGTTATTTGTCGGAATGTTTGGGGCCTGTGGGTCCTACCGCACTTGCAATTTCAATAGAAGGAGATGGAACACGTGGGCCACACTGCAATGACTCACTCTTCTATAACACGCCACTCTCTCTTCTTCTTCTTCATATGCTCTCACTCACTCACCCACTCTTCACACACATTCACTCCACACAATGTCTAAAGATGATAACTCTTCACAGGACTCTTCATCTCATCTTCAATTGGCTCTCTCCTTAACCCTCTCTCCCTATGCCTCTGCTTCCTCCGTTTCTGCCTCTCATTCTCTTCTTCCCGCTACCACTCCCACTCCCAGGTAAATCAACTAACCTTCTTATTTCCTATCTCATCAACTGCATTCATAATACTATGCTATAACATGTATCTTATTAAATATGTCTGCTAATTGCTATGTTTGGATTTATAGAAAGGGATGGAGTGGAATGCTATACCTTTTATTGTTTCAAATAAGATAACGTGGAATGGAAGGGAACTAATATTCAAATGAATTTCATTTATTTGCTCCCCCTTCGATTTGCGGTATACTATGAAATCACTCTGACACTCTTTATTTCCATTATATCCTTAAACTATCTATACAATGAAATCATTACTTTATTGTGGTCACCCCTAGTGTGCATTGGTTAGAGATACGGCTTAAACAAAGCTTATCAAGTTTGGCCAATTCTTACCTCAAGTCAGATTTGTGGAGTTGAATTAGATTCTACTCTATGATCAAATTCTAAGATGGTATCAAAACCTATTTTAGATCCATTGTTGGGCCACCTACATTTGTCACACTCTAGGATTGTAGCTTCGAGGAGGAGTGTTGAAAAGCTGCCTTAAGGGCGGTTAACCTTAGCCCTTCTTGGTTACAGCCTATTTGGGACTGCCTTAATTGCAACTTTGACAGTGGTGATTTAGTCTTACATCTATTAGAGACCTAGCTAGAATAGAGCTTATACAATTTGAACAATTTTCATTTTATATGTCGGTTTTGTAAGATTGAGTTAGGTTCTAAGACTAATTTCTAAGGCAGTAAGATCTTCGTTCCTCTACATCCGATTTCATTTCACTCACTGTCGGATATCTATACATAGTCTTAATGTTAATACACGACTTTATTGTTGGATCGTGTCTCATACATGCTTTGAAGATTACTTTTCTTGAGCAGTGTGAGGCGTGACTATTAATAAAGTGTATTAGAAAGAGCTTTTCAATAATATTTTATTACAGTGGGATTATACATACATATTTTTGAGTTTTGTAATACTGTTGAAAGTCAACATTCTTCATGAATATATGAACGACTGAGATATTGAGTGAAGATTCTAGAAATCTGTCTTGAACAAGGTTGAATAGAAGTGTTAGAATATTGACTGACAGAAAATTTAAAATTTTATCCACTGAAACATCTACAATTTCTTAAATAACGTGTATTTTAGGATCTAGGCTTGCTGTTAAAAAAAGAAAAAATCAATATGGAAACTTCTAAGTACCAACTATGACGTTTCATCTGTTTGGTTTGTCAATTAAATTTTGACAACCTTAATTGTTTAGCAAAAGTATCAGTAACCCCACTTATGCTGTACAAATTACCCACATAGACTATGAAGTATGGAGAGTTTTACATCAATAGACTAAATTCATAAGTTGTAGG